GGGCCCTGTGACACAGGGTGGGTGGCACGGCATCTAACGGGGCCCTGTGCATTATGGTTCAATAATGCTATGTTGCTAGGCCGAGTGGTAAAGACACCATCTTTAAGAACCACTAACCCACGCCTTAAAAGCTTACAATTTTGAAGAGACAGAAAAGAACCCTGACAGTCAGGAAATATGTCATCTGATCATCTTCACACCCTGTCAAAAGCCTGAGCTGCATCTTCCACCGGAGAGTTCTGGGAGTGGAGCTGCCAGCTGCATTAGAAAATAGCCTTGGTTTTGACTCTGGCCTTTTGGATCTCAGCTAAATTTCAGGAGGAGAAGGGCAAGTCTCAATATTCCTTCCCCCGAACAACCCCGGGTCAGTAAAGCTGGAGATTGTGACTTGAAGAAGTTAGGTTAGGGGTGGAAATTCCTTGCAATTAACTCCCAGAACTGGCCGCTTTCGCAACAATGTAACGCCTGTTTGTGGCTTTCGTGCCAGGTGGCCCATCTCCACTGGTGGGCTGGTACTTATCTGCAAGGGTAGCCTGGCACCCAAGCTGAGCCTTTTTTCCCCCCTCCTTCTGACTCTGTGGCCGCAGAACTTCCTGGGGGAGTGACAGGGCATAAGATGAGAGACGTGGCTCTGGGGAGGCCACTGATCTCACGGGAATGGGTTTGGAGCCAGGAGCAAATGAGATCATGGGACGGGCTCAGAAAAACACTAGCAAAGAATGAGATCTGAGCAAATGAGTTAGCTTTTACCCTACGATGCTTTTCAAAGCGGTTCCCCAGAAGCCATACGATTCGAAGAGTGGACCTGTGAAGTACATACAGGGAAACTGAGGTCCCCCCAAAAAGGAAGGGACTATTCCCACATCGTTTGCTTCCACTTAATCTTTAACTTCTCTGTTCTACAACAATCCCACTAGCGATTTCTTTTGTGCTGTGCACTAAACAGGGCGCTTGAGGAGCATTAATCAGCTCGATGGAATCCTCCCAACTCCCCTAGGCGTATCAATGACCCTCACAGTTCAGAGAAGTAGGGATTCCAGGCATCCAAGCGACTTGCCCAAGGCCACAAAGCCAAGGGGGGGCCAGGGCAAGATTTGAATCCTGGTTCTGTCAGAGGCCAGGTTCTCCTGCCCCTTAAGTCCAAGTGGTCTTCTTCGGAGATCCGTGGCCACCTCTCAGTTCCAATTCGCTAGGACCCAGCTTCGGTAGAGTGGCTGGGAGATCGCTTTCCTCCACCTTTTTACACTTCCCTGAGGGCCTACCTAGCAACTGTCACACTGAATTAAAAAGGAAACAGGAGAAATATATTCTCCCTTATTGCATCTAAAATCTTCTCGACAACTTAGCTCTGGACTTAATAACTGAGGGTTTAGAGAAGGCAGGTGAGGGACAAGGTGGGGGGGAGGGTGGCAGAAAGGTGACCCCACAGAGACTGGCCTTCGCCCTCAAGTATCATTTACCCTGGATAGTGGCTGGAGGGTGGGGGCTAGAAATCTAAGTGGATTGTACTGGGGGGCTGGTCCTGGGATTGGAGTGGGACCCTCAAGGGCTTGCCTCTCCTCAGGAAGGGAACAGACGGTGGGACTGTGCATCTCTGAAAACTGGCAAGAGTGAGAGAGACACACAGAGAGGAAGAAAGCAGAAAGAGAGAGAGAGGCAGAGGCAGAGGGAGAGTCAGGGAGGCAGAGGTGTGGAGGGGGGGAGGCTGTGTCCAAAGTTCTCCTGGTTTTTTTCCAGAATTCCACAGTTCTGATGCTCAGGTACTCAGAAAGTGACCGTGCTGTATTGGACACCTGTGACTGGACCCAGAGCCTGCGAGGGGGTAGGAGAAGCAGCCAAAGCTGCCTGGGAGGCTAAGACATAGCACTAAAGGGCCGGATAACTGAGTATGTATTTCTTCCAAAGTCTGTCATGCTACATTTTCCGATGGGGGGCTCCATATTTGTGCTCAGCCAGGACCCGTTAAGTCACCAACTGCCATTCTGAGCACTGCCTACGTGCCAAGCATGCATCACTGTGGGAGGATGGTCCGGTTTAAGGCGGCCGCATCCCACATCTGGAGACGTGTCACTCTATCCAACAAGAATTCAAACTGCTGACTGCCCATTCGGTCGTGCTTCAAATGCCTGTTCTGGGGGTTTCTTGGGAGGGTGGGAGGTGGTCTCACGCTGAGGCACGAGGATGAGAACGTGCCTGCTTATGCCCCCGTCCAACATGGCGGCCTCGGGGCTGAGGCACCAGATCTGGGTAAAAGGGGGCCGGCCGGCCAGTGAGGTCAGGCAAATTGGGCTGCTCTCCCCACACCCCCCACCCAAGCTCTGACCTCCCACCCTGTCTATGCTTCTCTCCACTGCACCCTCCAGCCCAGGCGGTCACTTTCTGCCCCAGCATCCCAGCTGCGGGACCCCTTCCACCCTCCCAGATGGTAGTTGGGACAGGAACACTGGCTTTTAAATCACAATGCGTTTGGAGAACAACCACAGAACAGCTCAGCCCAAGAAACCGAAACCAAATAGCACAGAAACACAAGACAGAACCAAAGACGAACCGCTTTAGGGAGGGGGGGCGCCGGTGAAGGGATGGGAGGGGGAAAAAAAAACGAACTGATCGGTTTTTTCCCCCCCGAAATGAAACAAAACCAAAAAACAAAACAAAACAAAACAAAACAACAACTCATAAATAAAAGGAACAAAGGAAAAAAAAAAAAAACCAACGAAGAAAACCAAAGGAGAAAAACGGAACAGAAGACGAGAAACACTCCAACAGAAGGCGTTGGGAAGTCACCAAACCCAACCAACGAGTGGCATGCAGAGAAATTCGTACATTCTCCCAGCATGCATCAGGCCCAAGTTACCATGACGACGAGGAGTGCAAAAAACTGAGCAACAACATTACCAACGGATGCACAGAGGCGAACAAGGCAAGCATCGCATGTGTGCGGCCGGCCCTGGGCCGGGCTGGGCGCGGCTGAGGTTTTCGTGTCTTTCTGGGTTTTTGCTCTCGCTTGGCGGTTTTTTGTTTTGTTTTGTTCGCTTTGCGCTTATCGTTCGCATTCGTTTCGTTTCGTTTTGTTTTGTTTTTTTTGTTTTTTTTTTTTTTTCCAGTTTGCGGATCTGTTCTTTTCCGTGTGCGTGTCTGCGGGTGTCCGTGTGCGTGTCCGTGTGTTTCGTGTGTGTGTGCGTGTGTCACTTTCGGAATGTAAAAATGTGGGTAAAGAAAGTAAAAAAGAAAAAAACACACCAACCTTCTCGAAGCTCTGAGGGATGTAAAGGGGGTTTGATGCAGAACACAATGACATGGGGAGAAGAGAAAAAATAGGGGAGATACAGAGAGTAAAAAGAGGACTTCCCAAGGCTAAAAGCTGCAATAGTTCGTTTTTTTTTTCTTTAAACCAAAAAAAAAAAAAAAATTAAAAAACAAAAAAAAAGAACAGCAATGACCTTTTTTTTCTTTCGTCCGCTCCTTCCTACACCAACAACATCTACATTTGCCTTCCACGATTCTCTTTTTAAATTCAATTTGGGGGCGTCCGAGACCCAGGCAAAGACTGGGAGGCTGCACCCCCAAAGGGAAGGCAGTTCGTGCCGGAGACCCCACCTCCGGCGGGCTGAAGACGCAGCGGCCCCCCTCCCTGGACGTGCCCTGGCTAGAGGTCCCGCCCCCGCCCTGCCCATGCCTGCCGGACATTCTCCTTGAGCTCTGCCAGACTCGCACACCCCCATCCTGGGTGTTTGCAGAGAAATAAGCCGGTTAGACGAAGACCAGTCGGCTGGACTCGTGGACACGCTACGACTCACCAGAGGTGCCGTGGCAGCAGGCAGGTGTGTGCTCCCCCCCCGCCCGCCCGAGTCCCTGTCCCCTCCCTCAAGCAGCCTCCTCCTCAGAGACAAGATGCAGAACCCAAGGTGCAGCACCGAGGAGCTGCTTCGGGCCAGTGGGGCTGCGGCGGGGAGGAGCCGCCTGGCCTCCGGGTGCAGAGTGGAGGGGCCCGGTGCGGCCACCAGGGACGCTGGGGCCTGGAGGAGGGGTGTGACGAAATCACGTGCCCACAGCCAATCGGGACAGCCCTGGGGTCTGAACGGGTCCTGGCAGGCAGAAGCTGTTTCTACCACAGATCTGATCAGAAACACCGGATGGGAGGCGGGAGGCGGAGGGGCGGGAATGGCGGAGGAGAGGGCAGATTAAAATTTCTGAAAGGACCGAAGAGAAGCAACATGGGAGGACAAGGGGTTGACAGAGGCATCTGGGAGCAGGGGGAGCCCCCCCGGGGCCTCCGAGGGGACACCAAGGGCCCCAGAGGGAAGTGTGCGGACGCTTCCCAGGGCTTCCTCGGGTGGGCAGGGGTGTGGGGCGAGGACCCCACGGCCCTGGGAAGGACAAGCACGGCTGGCCTGACAGAGCCAGGCCCCAGGGTACAGGTGCCTGCTGTGGCCCTGGCCTCACGCTGGCCTACACGAGTCCTTTCTGGGACCGCAGGGGCCGGCAACGGGGGTCAGCCTCCAAGACCCCACCCCGACTCTCAGATGGAGGGCGCTGGAGGAGGGGCGGTGAGGCGAGAGCCACGAGGCCACGGATTTCGGAGAAGCGAAGCGAGCACATGACAGGGGGAGGCACGCACGACACACCACAGAAGAAGCTGACTCGGGCGGGCGGGGTGGGGCCGAGGCCTGCAGGCTCCCCGGGCCCTGCAGGCTCAAGACTGACCCCCACTCCCAGCCCTGCCCCGTCCCCTCCTGCCGCCCCCTCCCCAAGTCCTGCAGCCCACTGGGTGTCCATCACAAGGCACAGGGGTGGGGAAGGGTCAAACTGCCCCCATTTATAGGCAAAGAAACCGAGGTCCGGAGAGAGACACTGCCCAGCCCACGTCCGGCCTCGACCGGGCAGGGGGCCTCCTGCTTGGGTCTGCAGGGGACGGGGGAGCCCGGAGGCTATGAGCCCGAGGGGAGATGGGGACGGGGCGGGGCGGGTCCCTGCCTCGACCTGGACTCGGCGTTCCCTACCTCGCACGTAGAGGTTGGCGGGTGACGAGTAGCGCACCCCCGCACTGTTGGTGGCCACACACTCGTATTTGCCCTGGTCGGTCTCCTCGCTGCTCTCGATCTGCAGAGCCCCTGTGGGGAGAGGCGAGAAGGCTCGGCCAGTCAGGGGAGGCCCGGGGGAGGCCCCGGAGGGCTGTCCCAGAGTCCTGTCAGGCCTGTCTTCCGTTCTGGCTGGGCCGGAGAGGTGGACAAAAGAGATGAGTTAGCCCAGAAGCCCCGGCTGGGCCGGGGCCTCCCTGGCCCGCCGGGCCTAGCCCCACACCGGCCTGAACGCACCACGCTCCCCCCCAAACCCTCCACTGTCACTGTGAAAGCAGCTGGTCACGGGGCTGGGGCTTCAGAAACAACTGCCGAGTCGACCTGTGGGCTGGCAGGGCGTGCGCCATGAAGGCGTGTCTGCAAAGCCCCGGCACGCGCTCTCCAGGTCAAGGGCAAAGAGCAGGTTGGCACCTGCAACGCCCAGTGCTCATTCCGGAGACCCCGGGACCTCAGGTGCCACCACGAGTGACGTGTAGAATCAGGGCCTGCAGAGCTCAAAGGTCAACGGACACAGAGCCGTGTTCCCTCAAGGGTGCTGGAAATTCCAGGACAGGGTCACCCCAGCGACTGTTAAAGTGAAGGGTGTTGTGTCTGAATCACAGGCGTCGGGACCTCAGTATCTGCCGCTAACTGAAAAGGGATCTGAACTCCCCAGCGATTTCGGGTCGCCGGAGCCGGACGCCCTTCCCCGAGCCATCTGCAGTCCCCCCTTCGGCCCGACCGTGGTGCTCATGGGTGCAGAGGGGGGTTTTCGAAAGGGTCTGGAAGCAACGGTCTGAATGGGAGGCTCCGAGACCCACAGAGGAGGCCAGAGGCTGGGGCCTCCAGTGTGTCTGGAGTCACAAGCGGGGACCAAAGAACCTGTTCGTCAGGAGAGCATAATGATCTGAAGAAGAGGCCAGTCCCTCAGGCGTATTTCAGGGCCAAGTCACAGCCTTCGGCCTGTGACGAAACTATAACAGGGCCAGTTTCCCTTTGGGGATGTCTGAAGTCACAGGCCTGGGTCAGACTCCACTTCCCATGAACATATAAGAATGAAGGAAACTTCTCGAGAAAACATTTGGAAACACAGGCCTCGATCCAGCACTACGGCGCCCGTGAGTAAATGAGAACAGGACACCCGATACTACGAGCCTGGGGGAAAAGCCTCGTTTTCGCAAATAAACAAAGATGAGCGAACTTCTCTAAGTACGTTTGAAACCTCGGGCCTCGGTACGATATCCGAGTGCCCGCGAATAAAGGAAAATAGGGTGAAGGTGTCTACACGTGTGCCTGGGACACTGCTCTCCAGGGCTGCGGACGAGGGCTCTGCCTCCACCTGACATTCCCAGCTTCCCCGCCCCCAAGCGTCTGGGGAGGCAGGCAGGCGTTACTGCGGAGGCCCAGAGAGGGCAGGGAGGCAGCTCCGGGCCACACAGCACTGGCCGGCAAGGCCGGGATCAGACGCAGACGCCTTCCCAGGGCCCCAAACAGGCCGATTCCAGCCTGGGCTCAGGGCATCACCAGGGGCCCGATCAGACCCGGCCTGCGAGTGCGTGTCTCCTGCTCCCTCAGCCGGACCCCCACCCCCAGATCATAGCCTGGGAGCCAGGAGACCCCTTCTGCACGCTCATCTTACAGATGAGGGAACAGGCTGCAGACGGATGAGGGTGTCACACAGAGTGACGATCGGACACCTGGCTCCCGGCGCTCTGGGTGGGCCTGGGAGGTGGGCCCACCCTGAGTAGGGGACGGCCCCCATTCTGCAGCCAGGTGGCCTGAGGAGCCACCGTGCCCACACTCGGCCCCCAGCCACAGACAGTGACGCAGACACGGAGACTGGACGGACACTGGGCAGGGTGGCGAGGTGGAGACGTGGAGGGGGGCCTGGGGGGCTGGAGGGGCCGTGAGTGGGTGGCTGGCTGAGGGAGAGCCTCTTACCTCGGATCGGAGTGCTTTCTGTAAGGGAAGCAGAGAGAGTAAGGTGAATGACAGAAGGCAGTTGTGGGGGGCCGCAGGGCCCCAGGGAGGCCAGGCCAGGCCACCCTGGTGGGGCTGAGCCAGCCTGGGCCTATGAACCCTGCAGGCTTTGCTGAGGAAGAGGAGGCCAGGCTCCTGAGAACAGGGTAGGTTTGAGGGCTTGACAATCAGGAGGGCTTTCTGTAGGAGGCAGCCATCTCCTGAAAGGGGGTCGGGCAGCACCATGCCCGGGGAGGTCTAGGGCCTGGCTGGCCTGGCCCTGTCGGCTGCCTTCCTTCTGGCCCGAGGGAAGGAGGTCCATGACCTCCCTCCCTTCCTTCCTTCTTGGGAGGGACCAGGAATGATGGGGGTGGGGTGGGGGGCTCAGGAATCTTGTTAGAGACAGTGGGAGAGGGGTTAGTGCCCCAGGGCTGGGCATTAAAAAGCAAAAGGAAGCTGTTAACAGACAGGCCAGGTAGGAGGGGCAGGGGAGGGAAGTGGCAGGGGACTGAGGGCAGAGGGAGGCCCCGCAGCCTCTCACTTCCTAAAGGAAAAGAGGAAAGAGTCACCTGTGTGCCCACCAGGGCACTGGGGACGGACGACTCGAGGGACAGGAAAAGCAGGTCCCAGCCTACAGTGTCACACCCTCGGCTCATCTTCCCCAGGAAGATGTCTGCCCCCTCTCTCTGCTGCCGACAGCTGATAACCCCACAGAGGACGAGGGGGACCCCGAGGCCAGGGCAGAGAAGCTGCCGAGGGTGAAAAAACCATGGCTCCTTTCGATGGCCCGGAAGGGGCAGGGGTGAGCCCTGAACCCAGCTCTCCAGCCTCCAGGCTGGGGACCCTCCAGCCTAAACTTTTGGGGGCCCCCACACTATCTCTTACAAAATCCTCAACCTGACAAGACCACTTTATACAGAAGGAAATGGGATTTGCCTAAGGCTGCAGCATGGAGCAGGAGAAACCAGGGCAGCGGGACTCTAGGTTGGGCGCTGCTGGGGGCTGCCCCCCGCTACGCGTGGATTGTGATGGTAAGAAGCCAAATCCAGAGAACAGGACTTCTTCCCAAAACGGCCAAATAGCCCGGGGCCAACTATACTGAGAGCAAAGAACGCACGCCCAGGAAAATGACAAGGAACAATCACCGACCAATATCAGTCAGTATCACCTTAGTAAGAATTAGCCCAGCAGCTGGTTTCAGGGGATTCAGGCTGGACGCTGGGAACAGAGGATGACTAGTGCCCAGCACTGGCCCAACTAGAAAACTCCCCAGTCCCAGACTTCTGCAATTCCGTCATTTTCCAGCAGCGTCGAGGCCAGGACGGGGCGGATGGGCTGCTTCGTGCGAAGCCCCACGAGGCCCAGCGTGCCTCGCCTTCCCCCTGCCCCCGTCCTGGGGCCTTTTTTCCTCTTTTCCTTTTGGGCTCCTCTCTCTGCAGTCCCTTGGTAACTGGCCGGGGAGGGCTGGGGGCACTGGCGGGGGTGTCGGTGGGAAAGGCTGGGTTAGTAAACATGCCACGTGGGGTGGGTCACAGTTACCGTCACAGTGGCTGTTAGTCCGGAGGGAGGGGACAGGAGACAAAGGGGGAACGTTAGTTGACGTGGGGAAGAAACGAGACTTACCAAAGGTTTCTGAACGTTTACAACAGAAGGACAAGAAAGAGAGAACAGGAAGGTTAACGGGTGGTTACGCAGGAGCCCGTATCCTCGTGGGGCGGGACCCCGGGGGGAAGTCGGAGTAACAGAGTCACTGCAGTGACGCAGGCAGCCTGTGTTCACGGAGCACCTGCTACGGGCCAGGCGTCCGTCGTGGGTCCCTCGCAGGGAGCACGCACATTTTATAAGGACGCCAAGACCCAGCGAGGACCCGCTGACACCAGGCCTTCCGGCCTCAAGGTCCATGCCCTTGATGGCGCCGCTGTGCTTCGGTGGCCATGGCAGACACCCGCAGGGAAGCGACTGGCTCCCCGGGGGGGCCGTCACTCCCCCACCGAGGCCCCAAAGCTGCAGAGACCCTCGCACAGGTCGGGGTCGGGCTGTCACTCCCCCCAGAGCGGAAGTTCCGGGCTCAACGTCCAGCCCTTTTCAGGGCGTGGTCTTCCGTGGGGAGAGGGACAGAAAGTGGAACAAGGCTGGATGTGCTCGGGGACGAGGCTGGGCAGTGAGTAAGGGGGGTGCGGAGAACTGGGGGGCCCTCGGGCACGGGGGGCTCCAGCTGCGGGGGAGCCTCAGAGGGCGGGTTGTGTGCACTCACATGGCTTGAAACACGCGTGAGTGCTTGCGGGCACGTCCCCGCCACACGTCTACACATCTGCACACGCGGACCAGGGCGTGTGGTGTGCGCAGGAGGGAGTGCAGTGTGGGCACACGTGTGGCCCAGATGGGCTCGAACGAGCTCTGCCCTGGGGGGAGACGGCGGCCCCACGTGCTGATGGCACAGCCTGTGTGCCCACAGGTCAGGCCAGCACGGGGAGCCCGGACACACACACACACGGACACACTGTGAAGCAGGGGGACACGGACACGACACCCACACAGACCCCCGACAGACGGACTCACAGATGGGGCACGTGCGTACTCTGCCGAGACTCAGCTGTGGAACTGCCCGTCCCCGAGGTGGCCCACGGGCCCCCCAGCCCCGCCGGGGCCCTGACCCATCACAGACTGACCCCCAACAGCGCCCTCTGCCTCGTCGCATCCTCGCCGCTTTAGCCTCGCGGACACTCTCTCCCTGCAGCTCTCGATGGCTCGCCACACCCTACCTGTCCCTGGCCCACTGCGTCCCCTGGAGCCGCCCTCCACACTGCCCGCCGCCTTGACTGTGTGCACCCATCACCTACCCAGGGGTGAGGCCACTCTCCGTGGCTCCCCACCACCTCTGCCTGTCTCCCTCTGCGTCCCCACTGCTGGGGCCCTGCAGAGAGCCACCAGCCTCTGGTTTTCCCTCACCTGCCACCATCTGCACCTCACTGGAACCCGAAGGTGGGTCCTAGAGACACCTCGTCCCTGGGGTTCCCACAGCTCCCTGCCATCGTGCACAGCTGGCCCAGGACACGCCCACTCAGGCACCGAGGGGCCCTCCTCCCCATCAGCCGCCAGTCCGCCCCATCACGCCCCCGCTGCCTCAGCCTCGAAGACGCCTTCCCCACCGCCGCGGCCCCTCGTCTCCACCTTTCTGCCCATTCGTCCCCAGGCCTTGGGCCGGGGAGGAGCCGCCCTCCCCGGCTGCCCTCTGTGACATCCACATCCTACCAGCCACCTGTGCTCACCTGACCGCAGCTGCTTGATGCGCCCGTTGCTGGCACTGGGGTCCACGGGCAGGAAGTCCTTGAACCAGGTGATCTCGGGGTCAGGGTTGCCACTGGCGGCACACAGCATCGTAGCCGTCCGCGTCCGCTCCACCACCTTCAGCTGGGGGCCCATGTCGATGTTGGGGAAACCGGGGGGCAGCTGGTCCTCTGGGAGTAGAAACGGCAAAACCAGGGAAGAGGCCCAGTTGTCACCTGGCCACCCATCCAGGGCAGGGCTTGGGGATAGCCTGGCGCCTGCCTGGCCCGGCCAGCGACCTCCCGCGGCCTGTTCCCTCCTGTCCAGGTGTGGGTCCACTTCCCGGGAAAGAGCTGCTGGCAGGATATCGGGTTAGTCCCGCGCTCTTGCCTGGGGCGATTCTGCTGCCCGGGGGACACTCGGTGATGTCTGGGGACATTTTGGTTGACAACTGGGGTAGGGACCAGGAATGCTACTCAGTGCCACACAGGGCCCCGGGGTCAGCAGGGCTGGCGCTGCAGAGCCCTACGGTGACATCACAGCGGCCAGAGGGAGTTTTGCAAAACGTGAAGCAGACAACACGACCGCCTGGCTGCCCACCCCGCCCCAGGCCTGGCCGTCCTCCAAAGGGAGCCAGGCCCCAGCCTCCCAGGCCTCCTTGTTCCTGAGTCATCACGCTCCCGCCCATGTCACCCCTCGGCCTCCAACCACTCATCCACATGGCCTTGGGCCGGCTCACACCCCCAGGTCATGAATCCTCTGGGACCCCAGAATGTCTGAGCTCCACGGATCACGATGTAACTGTGTCACCGCACGTCCCACCACCCAGCGCAGGGCCTGGTCCACAGCAGGCGCTGAACAAACGAGTGAGTGACTCGGCTCCAGTTGCTACCAACCCAGGAGAGGGGGGTGAGGGCCTGAGGAGGACACGCCCCTCTCCCTGGGGAGCCGGGTTTCGGTGACTGGCAGGACCGTGGGTCGGGGCAGGGCTGACATGACGAGGTGGTCTCCGTTTGCGTGCTCTGCAAATGGCACCATGGGCTCTGTGGCTTG